TTTTTTACGATGCGAGTAAAGTGATGCAAACATTTGATTTTAAATTCGAAACAAAACAAAAAAAGAAATAAACGTAAATTTCAATTTTTTTAAAATGTTGTCCTACTTTTCAACATTTTATTCTCGGTCACGTGAAAAAAATCTATAATTTCGAAATAAAACAACAATGTTTATGTGTCTAGAAATATGTATCTACTTCGATACTTTACGTCACAGATTAGATTAAACGTAATAACATTATACTTTCATTACACAAATATTAAAACCATATATGAGCAGAGATATTTATGATATTTTTCTACGTCCATTGATTCAACGATATTTGATACCTTGATATTTTAACAAATTTCCCGACTGCTGCAGAAAATTTTTCGAATATCAAGTACAAAAGTATAAATTCATTCTGCGAAGCAAAATTTCTCGTGGCCGATACTGTAAACGCAATGGAACATGCGTATATAAATTTATACAGAAAAAATCGATCAATGCGTAAAATTTTTGATTACGGTTGTGTTACGAAAATCTATTTTCAAATGTATTATTTTGTCTAATCCAAAAATTTTAAATGTTTGGAAAATGGAATATCTTTTGAAGAGGGAAATTCATCATGATTTTGATATCACGTTTTCAACGCAATTTGAAAATATTTTTTACAATAAATGACGAAACATTAAAATCTGAACACTTTATGTAATTGAAATATTGTTCTATTTTGTAAAGTTATAAAAATTAAAAAGAAATTTGAAGGATCCTTTAAAAGTGATACGTTGCTAAAAGAAACTTTTCACGTATAATTTCGACACTAGTATCTTATTGTAATTACAACTTGCTTACTTTCAAAAAATTTAAAAGTATAATTTGCATATTTTTTTTTTTTTTACCATTAATATTTTTAATCGACCCATTGGAATACTTTGAATACTGTACTATTCCAATACTGTGTATAATTTCGTTTCACGTAGAATCTGATTCTTTTTACGATCATTTTAAGACTTTTTTTTAGTATCATTGTGAAGTTGCAATGAAAGATTTAGGGCATCTGAACCAGTCGAACGAGGTGAACACGCAAATTCAACCTTTTTGTCTCATTTACCTTTCACCTATAATGTACTTTAAAAGTTGTTCGACATTGAGTAAACAATAAAATATATCGATTAAAAATATCGTAATATCATATGAATAAGTTACGTATCGATAACTATCGTTCAATTCATGATACGTAAAATTTTAAAGTTCCATTATTTTTATTGTTAAAATTTCTTTGACACGTAGATATTGCATCAATTTTTATGCAAAACTTTATGTATATATATATAAATATATACATACACAAAACATGAAACATAATATGATGTTTCATAAACGGAATCCTTGAAAAACTATCAAGATAGTTAAGTTTTTAGATTAAATTACATAAAATTTTATATTCGATAAAAGCGCTCAAGATAACGAATATTCAAATTATTTTATTATCTTCTTTTATCATATATAAGTATAATAAATTTTATATTTTTTTCTAAAAATATAAAATTCTAAAATTATCTATTAATGTCTAGAGAATTAACGACAAGATCGTCCCTGTTAAATCAGCTTTTGTTACATTCTGAGTTTAAACTGTGCTCTGTACTTGTTCTTTATCTTGCCAACATTATATATACTTTATCCATTCTCCCTCATTTCACTATGAAAAACCTTCGTAAATTGAATTACTACTACATTTGCTACTCATTATTTTATCTTCGAATCTGTCATACAAATATCGAATTTTCATTCAGTCTCTCTACAAGCGAAAGCTTTAACTTCTCCCTTGACGTTCGAGCTTCGATCATATCACGTTCATTTTTAAATGAAAAATTCCTCGATTAAATTTCTATTCTCCAATTTATTACCAAATCCACGATAGAAAATATTCCACCGCGGACAAAAAACAAAAAACTTACTCGCAATCCCGGATCGCGAAATAATTTGCGGCCGATTCAGAAATTTCATTTAACCGAGTGGGCTGGCTCATGCGTGTCTGCACAATCTCCCGAATACCTGAATCCAGACAGCGTTTATTCGCGCATACGCAAAAGGTGCATCGAACCCGAATGCTTACCTATATTAAGCGGCCCTTGACATCGTCAAGCTATAACCGAGTGCAAACATCCGTCCGCATTTAGATACGCGGCCGATGTTTTCCACGACAAACCGCGCCACGTTCACCGCCCCAATCCGACTATCCGTGAAGATTTCCGATCTTTAGGCTCTTCCTCCTCCCGCGTTAAATATAACCGTAGCGGGGTGGCACTGTTCGACGTAGCTATAAACTCGAAATAGTGCAATGCACTCTATGATATGGGATACGTTAACATCGATGTACCGACGAATAAATTGGATTAATTCAATCCTCTTTCTGTGCTCGATCGTATATCTATAAACGAACAAATTATTATTGTATTTATCATTGTACTTCGCAAGAAGATGTTTCATTACAATTCATTATTTCGAATGGATAAAAATAGGAATGTTTATTGGGTGTTTGGGTTTAGTAGTTGAGAGTAGTCTCGTGGCGCTAGTGTCGTAGCGTCGAGGCGTCCAAGAAAATATTAATTCTTTCTCGAGCCAAGTTTTAAAAAAGCGTTAATTAAACTCTCGAGTTATTTATCGAAACTAGTTTTACACGTTTCTTTAATTGAACAATCGCGTTTCAGCTCGCTTTCACATTTTTTTAACGTTAATTTTTGAGTTAACCAGGGATACACAAATACTGTGTCACTGTCGTACAATTGTAAAAATCATTCCTTACACGTTTCTTAAACCGAATAAAACGAACAGCTCCAATTACTACATTAAAAAGATTAAGATCCAGCTATCAGGGTATACCGGCAATTAAGAAAACTAACGCGCGATATTATCGGAATTGTCGGAAGGTTAACCTCTTGTCTACCCGCTAACTCTCGATTTCTTGGACCACAATACATAAGAAGACTCGTGTCGTTTACATTTGATCCCACGAGTCAGTTGTTTACGTTTGAAAGAAGTAGTCAGGCTTATTATACCTTTTGGCCCAAATTTCATACCACGAGTCTCACTCGTTGTTACAAGACAAGAGAGGTTAAGAGAGGGAAAGGCACGGGTGAGGCAATTAGGTCGCGGAAACAACCGCTTTCCATTTCTCTCCGCTCCGAAATCCGTCGAAAGCGATACGAGCGGAGTGGCCGCGTGGGAGTACATTCTGCTAAGTACAGCTTACTTTGCGGAACGAATACGATCCGGCCAAGGTTCCCTCCTCACCTTGCCCCTTTGTTCGCAATAAATCCACCAACGTGTTACACAAACGATAATCTGAGCATCGCTCCTCCCCTCAACGCGATCTACCCCCGCGGCGAGGCCGACCTCTCTTCGATTCGTTTAGTGGCCTTCGTTGCTTAACGCGCCGTTAATTAATTGCCGCGATCATCGAACGAGGAGAATTATTATTAACGGTGTATTTTACTCTTTTTTACACGAGTTTCCAAAAGTTTCTCGTTTCATCTCGATGCCAAGAGTATTGGAAGATAAAAAAAAAGTTAAAAGAAAATAAAGGAAGGAACTAGTCACAACTTGTCGTATGCATATTTATATTCGAAGAAGAAAGAGGAAAAGTTGCAGGACAAAAACGAAAGGCAAAGAGATAATTTTTCCTGGGTGGAATGGAAATTGATCGGGCAAGTCGAAAGAAATTCGCATAAAATAATAATTTGCGCACCGTCGTTTCGAACCATCTCCCTTCCAACTTCCCTCGAAAACGGTACCTCCCGTGTTTCCAGGTCAGCCGTTGAGGAGAGCAGCGGCCGCTTTATTTAAAATCCCCTCACGAGCCGCGGCGAGCCACGATTCGCTAACGATTCGCGTAATTTGCAATTCCTTCCTCGTCGTTCTTGCCCCGACGTCGGCAATGTTTTCTTGTTACGACGTTGGTGGCCGGCCGCCACTCCACACGGATCTCGAACCGAGCCGAGAATCGAGCCTCCTCTCCGTTCTCGCCTCGTATTCCCTCTCGTTATCACCCTCCTCTTCCCTCTCTTTCCCTCGCCAGACCACAACAAAGAGAGAGAAAGAGAGAGAGAGAGAGGCGAAGGGGAAGAAATTTACGATCGGTGGAGGAGGGTTGTTGGGGGATGGTGGCGCGAATTTTCTCGAATTCGAGGGAAAGCGGGTCTAAGCTGGACCCACATGGGACCACGCGTTACTTTCAACTCGGCTATCCTCGCGACTGTTATCGTTCCAAGGGCTGGTTTAATTGGACTGACCGGCATTGTGGCTCTCGGTGTTCGAGCCTTTTGTCGGATGGGGAGATTATCAAACGGTCCGTGAAAGATCGCTTTGTAACCTCGTTTTGTGTGAACTCTTGTTTCCAAGCGTGTGTGCGTGTAAATTTATTGGAGAGAAAAGGTTTGAGAGATAAAGTACTTGTTTTAAGAATCGTGATAATTTTTATTTTCGGCCTACGATTCCCTTGGAGAATAGAAGATATATATATATATATGGTAATTTCTGTTTCCTATCCTTTCCCAAAATTTATCTCTGTTTCTTAATTTTTGTCGGCTTTGATTCGAATGCTAATACGAATCGTGAACGCATGTTCGAATCCAAGACGTGAAATGGAAAGGTTAATAGGATGAAGTTTTTCGCTTGGAATTTTGCCAAGAATTCGCTTTGTCCTTTTCCTTTTTCTCGTAGTATTTACACCGTCTTTGTTGACTGAACATTTATCAATTTATCTTTATCGCCGTATCGCGGTGATAAAAAGTGTGAGACGAATTAATTTTCTAAAAATTAATCTCATTGAAAACGGCATATTTGCTTGGAAATTGTTTAAATATTTTATATATATATACATATTAATTTTAAATGGTTAAAATTTTCCATGAAATTTGTACCGTTTCAAGAGAAGAGGTTAACGAAATTACTCGTTACCGAGAAACCGCAACGGTCAAAGAGTACTTGAAACGACTAGCTGTATATTAAAACGTTACCTTGAATCGTTACTCGTTACCTTGAATCATTGCCAAGAAACAGACGAATGAATATTTGAGGATACGTACCTGGAACAGAAAAAGAAAGAATATATACAATCATATATACGTGTTTCGTATATATATATATATGCCAATATATAGGTCGCAATTTCCAAATAGATTGCAAAGCGTTTTCAAAGAATTTCCACAATGATTAGACATCTAATAATATATATATATATAATAATCTAATAACATTTCTCGATAATAAAATTTCAAGCCGACATTCCAAACGAGACATAGACAAAAATAAACCATTAACGAATAATTTTCACTTCTCATCATGCGAGAAAATTATTTAATTCTCGATAATATATAAATTTCTATAAGTAAGAAAAAACTGTCTATAATAATTTCTCGTCAAAAAAAAATTGATTCTTCGATCGATACACGATTTCTCGAGCAAATATATAAAAAAGACAGAGAAAAATACACCATTTTAAATTCCATAAGTTAAGTAAGAAAAGATTGTCCACAATGATTTCTCGTGACGCGATAAAAGAGGTTCACTATCCTCGATCGATTCGTCCACAATTTCTCGCGCATCCGATCGAGATAGCGATCGTCTGGCCGAATAGCGCTTGGACCAGGTCCAGTGTCGGCGAACTCTTGTCGCGTCTTCGAAACCTCGCGTTTTCGCAACTGGCCTGGCCCCTTTTTTCACCCCTTTTTCTTCCCGAAAATTGGCCGTCGCGTTTCAGCGACTGGCCCTGTGCCAGCCGTGTTACTCGCCTCCCAATCCCCGCGGATTACCGCCTCGTTCAACGCGCAATGATAACCACTCCACTCGGTTTCCTTTTTAATACCCTTCGAGGAACGACCTCGCCTTAGCAAAGGTAGAAAGTCTGGCCTCCTCGCAGGAGGACGCGCAACCGCCCACATCGAGCCGTACCCCGCTTATTAAAAGCGTAATAAAGAGAAATTATCTGGAATGGAGAGAAAGAGAGAGAGAGTGAGTGAGTGAGTGAGTGAGCACGGGTCGTAAATATCGCTCTGGGTACGAATGGAGGAGAGGGAGGGTTGAGAGAGAGTGTATTCAGTCGAATTTGGTTGATTAAATGGTTGTTGATGGAATATGGGGGAAATTTTTGAAGGAGATTTATATTATATTTTGGAAAATTGGACGGAATGGAGTGATGGGACGGGCGCTTTGTAATCTTGATTTAAACTTGTTGTAACAATTGTGGAACGAGGTTCTTTTCTGTGCAAAAGTGAGTTTAAATTTCAATCGGAATATTTGGATATAATTTATTCTATAAGTGAGGCTAATAATAGGAATTTATTCGAATTCATAAGCAATTATCCTGCTATCTTAGGAATCTTGAAGAATAAGAGAAAAAATTTAAATATCCTCCTTCCTGTTTACAATCAATGAGATAACGAATTCAGAAGAAAACTTGATTGAAGAAAACCTTAAAAGATTAAAAATGTCTCGATATATATATATATAGGATGAAAAAAAATTATTTCCAACTGAGTAACCGTAGAATCGTCGTTGCTGGTTTATATAACAGTTTCTATGGGCAATGCGCCCGATAACAGTTTCTTCCAGTTAAAGCCATAAAAGAGTTCGCGATACGACAGGACTGGAACATCGCGAAAGATCGTTACGATGTGCCCCGTTTCCCCTTCGAAGTTGGAGCGAACCGAGGATTGATACCTTTAAGGATCTTGAATTGGCTCCGATATTGCCGCGGCTCCCTTCTATTTTCGCCGGCCCCCAGAACATTCCTCAAACTTCTTACAACTGCATCCACTTCTTCCACGATTGGCTAACGGTGAAAGTTTATATCATTCTTGGTAGCATAGGCTACCACAAACACAACCTATTAAATTCGCCATGTGATTGATTCTCTGATCGTAATTTATCGTTTTTTCAATTTCTCGTCGAATAATCTTATATTAGTAGCGAGCTATGTCGTAAGGATTACCTTATTCAGACGTGACACAAATTGAAGATTAATTCGTGCATTGAGTGTTAATGGACACGATTAATCGTGATTGTCCCAATGGAAAATTAAGCGACGAAAATCGGATTATCCTCGGGTAATTTTTTCATATCGTGTGTTTAATAAGTAAACGATATACTTCCTACGAATTATTAGTATTACAATTTTTTAAATTTGAATGAACGCAATTGGAAATCGTAAAGAAGGTATTCTTCAAACAACCAAGAAAATTATACGAACAATTAACAAACTTCTTCTTTCATAGAAATTAACGAACGAGCGTTTTTTCAAGCAACGAAACCTTCGTTGAAACCATTTTCCTCCATAACTGAAAATTAAACCCTCGCAGCGAATGGCTGCTTCCATAAATTGCAAAAAAGCGATGCTAAATTTCCAACCCGCCATTTCCATCGCGACAAAAAAGAGAAGAAAAAGAAAAGAACGAAACGAAACGACGAATCGCGTTCGAAGAATTTCCTTCGAGGGATATATAAAGAAAATTAGAAAGTTCTTGGAAAGGTGAAAAAAAGAAGAAAAAGGAGGAGAAGGGGTAGGATGCAATGGCGACACCGCGGTGCATGGCTTTATCTTGGCCAAGCGCCAAAAGTGTATTTTCGGTGTCAAGGGATGGTCCTGCAGAGAGAATGAAACGTACGAAATAATTTTTCTTACTGCGTCGACAGACTTGCCGGTGCAATTTGCATAAAAAGAGGCGCGTTACTTATTCCTTCCCTAGGGCGAAATATTTCGAAACCCGGCCCCCTTCAAAATCGGCAACTCGATCTTGGTTGCTGATTTGTATGCGAAGCAAATCGCAAGTGATCGATTTTTTACCGCTTTATAAATTTTTCATAACGTTCGACGATGTATCCCAAGATTATCGAAGAATTTAGGTTATGTTCAACGTAGAAATTAACGTAGAGAATAATTTTTAAAAGCCTTTCAATTTTTTTTATCTTCATAAAATAATAACAATTGGTTATATTTGTATTCTATCGATATTTCTATACAAAATAACGAATAAATTCTTTTCAATATCGCGAACACGAAGCATATTTTCGATACTATCTCGAAAAATTCGAACAATAAGACGAGCAAAGAAAAAGAAATATACAAATATAATCTCGATAAAATATATTATTCTTCTTCCTATTGAATAACACTCGTGCAATAATTTCAAGTATTAAAAGCTGCCCCGATTAAATCACTCGACACCCCATACACCGAACTACTTTCTTCTATTTTCACAGAGCCAAGCTGGCCCCTCCCGTCCGTCAACTTCTAAAACGGTCCCGTGTATCCAAGAGCTGGTAAGATTCGGTTTAAATTGTCGAAAGTGTCGGTTAAAGGGGAGAACAACGGTCTCGCGTTTCCAATTCTCCTATAAACGCCTCTATTTCGATCCGAGGAGAATCTATTCGTGGCGAACGGATCTCGAATCTATAAATTGCTCGTTGCACGGATCCCGACACGCACGACTTTCACACGCGACTTTCGCGCGAGATTACAGTGATTTGAACGCGTGCAGATTCGTGTCATCTCGTCGGATAAGGGGTTGTCGTAAATGGTCGCGCGAAATACAGACACGCGGCTTCTGTAACTATCTAACAACGAAAAATCAATAAAATGTCGTTTTCTATACTTCGTAGATCCCGTACACATCTCGTACGAGCGAAATTTTGTTATTTAATTAGATTTATTGTAAATAAATCCCTCTTATATAATAAGATTAAAATTAATTCGCAAAGATTTCTTGCCTCGTTCGATTATTTGAAGAGGGAATAGATCGTTCGATCGTAAATTCTCGTTTAAAAAGGAGTTGAGCATCCGAAAGGATCTCGCCAACAGGATGTAACGCGACTCGATACCTAAATTAGAATCGGATCTCTAAAGTGCATCCGAGCAATTTGGTTGAATGGATGGGCGAAATGGGACGTACGCGAGGCTTACTCGCTCGCTCCGGCGTGAATCGAGGCCTCCTCCTCGTCGTCGTCGTTGTCGTCGTCGTCGTCGACTCGGAGAGAGGACTGGTTCGCCCACTTCTTTGAACCCTGAAACAGAGTGGCCGCCGCTGGAATTCACACAGCTCGAGGCCTTGGTTATTCGAACAAATCGGTTCTTGAAATCGATAAGCTACCGGTAGCCGCTCTCTCGTTCGAAAAATCTTTACGGCTTATAAATTGCTCAGGGATAAGAACGTAAGAACGATCGCGAGAAGAAAAGATCGTTACAGATCGGTTATCGTCGTAAATCGTGATTCTACGTACTCAGTGCATCGCTGTTCGTTCCGAAATTCCACGTTCCATCGCCTCGTCCTGTGTTTTTCATTATCGCTTTTATTATTAATCGTTCGCTTCGTTAGTCGTCGATAGATCGATATTTGCGACGAGATAACGTACGCGTAGATGCGATCGGATGGATCGGTTGAATCGGATCGGTGGAAACACGATACGAGCGATGGGTTTAAGTCGATGGCTCGCTCGGTTGTTGGACCGGTTCCAATCATCGCGCTTAAACCCATCGCTTTTTTCGATACCTACGCGTCGCAACATGGTCAGTCGATATCAATTACGAGCTGCTTTAGAAATCGATTTAGATCGAGGTAAGTTGTAATTGAAGTTAATAGATGTACGTATTTATATCATTTATCATCGATCGAGATAGACTGCTCGACGATAGTTGATGATTGTATTTCAGAGATTAATCTCGAACTACCTTTGGACGTGAATTGGATAGAATTTTAGATAGGATTTGTGATTTATACTGTGCACACTTTGAAAATTTGTTATCCATCAAAATTATGTATTAACGGATTGTTGGATCGTAAATAAAAGTAACGTTGAAAATAGAATCAACTTGAGATCAACGAAAAAATAAATTTCAAAAAATAATAAAACGACTCGTATCGTTCGTCGATCCGTGAGTCAAAAAAAAAAAAAAAAAAGGCTAGTTTTAATTATTTTGTAACTTTGGTTGAGAATAACGTAATTGACGTATCTAGAATTTATATCGAATAAAATATAATTGGTCGCTTAAAGGCAATTAATTTTTTTACAATCCTTCCATACCTTCGTTAGACAAAAAG